CTATTTTGTTTTGGTCAATTGCAAAACTAACCTGTCGGGTTATAGTGTAGACTTTTACTGCAGTCTACAGTTACGTAGACATTTAGTTCTGTCTACTCGTAGAAAGTCAACTTTGGTCAATTGCAAAACTAACCTCTTTCAAATAAATTTAAAAGTGTAGACTGCATAATAGGTCTACTTCTAAAAGTCAAACTCTGATTGAATTCTGGTTGCAAAACCAACCTTTTAAAAAATGTAGACTGAAAAGTAAGTCTACTCATATAAAATCCCTTTTTTTTTCAAATACAGAAAGTAGCCCGTGAATTTGGCAATTGCAGAAACCAACCTAAACGTAGACCTAATGTTCAGTCTACAACCTGTAAACTGAATAAAACGTCTATAGGTCTGTAGATTGAATATGTAGTCTACCATGTAAAATCTATCAAAAGTGGTTTTGTGTATTATTCATTAAGTTTTTTCAAAACTTTTTTTTATGAAAGTGTGTGTTAGTTAATCATAAGTGTCTTGAATGATTTTCAGAAGATAATCTGTTATAATTAGGAAGTTATCAATTTTTTTGTTTGTCTATGTTGTTAGCTTAAAATTTGTAGACGTACTTGTAAGTCTATGATATAATTTTATCAAACATGAAATTTTGGCTTGCTAATTATGTAAACCGTATTGTTTTGCAAGAAATGGTTCAACTACCTGTTGTATACGGAGAATGGGTGGTGAAAGACTCTTTGTGGGAGTTTGAGGCGATAATCGGAAAGGAGGGAGAATGTTCCTTGTTCAGATTCATAACAGCATAAAAACATCCTAAAAATTACGACACTTTCTCTAACGATTTACAAGAAAATGTATTTCGTTCTGTTTGGTTTATACATTTGATATTAACTCATGCTACATTGAGTTCATAAATAATAAAACTCCAGTTTACATAGCATTAATAAATAACCATCAGTTTGATCTTATGGAACAGTTGAAGACTGCTTCAACAAAACTCTTATCCAAGAAAACTCTATTCCTCAAAATATCAACAAAACAATTACATAACAAAAGTATATTTTTTTTGTATACACATAGTTGACTATTGAGTCAAACCGCTCTCTGCTGCTTAAACAAAGAGAAGAGCCAAATGTTATCAGAAACAAGTAAGATCATAAAAATATGACCAAGTCAGTACATCACCTTGTTTCCTTATCTTCTGGAAACTCAACACTTGGAAGCTGCTCATTCTCATTATTATCTTCTCGTGCTTTACTGATTAGAGTAACTTCTTTGATACTCACTTGTGCATCCTTAGGCTCAAACTCAACCTCTTCCACCGTGTCTCTTGGATGATCTTTCTCTTCAAGACTTTGTTCCAGAATCTTTTTATCATCAAACAGAACCTGTACTCAGAGTTTAACATATATTAGTCTTCATGGTTCGAGTCTCTTACTCATCAAAGTTCTAAACCAAAACGCCTCAGCTTTTTACCTCTGCGTGTTTCTTTACCCCTTTAGCGTGCTTTTTGCCCATCAGATGAGCCTCGAAGACGGCTGGAGAAAGGCAGATCACACTGCAAATACTACACACATATGCTTTAACTTCAGCTTTCTCTTTAGTCACGTTTTCCTTCTTCATGTCTATGTACTCCTCTGGATGCTCACTGGCTCCTGAAGAGTTACTTTCAGGATCGCTTGAGTTAATTTCCAGGTTCTCGTTTGGTATACTCTCAATCTCCGAGGTTAAGCCTGAATCTTCTGAAACTTCTTGTTTCTTGAAAATGGCATCAATACATTCTTGAGGGGCAGACAACTCAAGGTTTAGTTCATTGAAGATACACTCTTCATTTGGAAGAGATTTGTAATCATTCTCTCTTACTTCTTCAACAGTTTGAACAAATTCTTCAACACTCTTCTCAGAGGTGGCACATCTCTCTCCCAGCTCATGTCTTTTCTTATTTAAGTAGTCGATGATCTCATGTGCCTCTCCAGTCTTGATTCGGAGCTCCTTTGTTATGTCTTGAATGATTTCCTCTGGTATTTGATGATTATTCAGTAGAGCCTGTTTCAATAACAATGTATCATCAACAATCTTCTAATGAAAACCATAAATTTTCAAACTCTAAATCTCTATCATCTTACATCTATGTGCTTCTTCAACTTAGCAGCATGCTTCCGTCCCTTATGATGAGACTCGAACACTAAAGGATGTGGACAAGTTACATCGCAGATACTGCAAACATATGGCTCATATTTGTCTTCACTCACTGTACTCTTCTCCTTCTTATTCATGTTAGTGTCCTCCTCGAGATTCTTAGTCTGTCCTGCAGGTGCATTTTCTGGCTCACCCGATTTTATTTCCAAGCCTTCTTTGAGCATGTCCTCCAACTTCTCGATTTCAATGTCATTTTGTGTAGGTTCTAGTTTCTTGAAAATTGCTTCAAAACACTCCCTGTTACAACAATGTTATTACATCAGAATATACTCTTAAAATTTGACAGCAAAAAAGGCAACAATCGAAGTTTACCTCACTTCTTTATATCCAGAAGTTCCCAATTTTCATCGAGGAAACCGCAGAGAAGTTATGCAGCAGCAAGGAGAGGAACACAATAGAGAAGTGTTCTGTTCCCTGTGAGGTCAGTAATTTCCTATCAGAAAAAGATTTCTTGCTGGAAAATACTAGAGAAGTCTGTAATTTTCTAGAACCTCCAGTAGGAGACTCCAATTGAGAAATAGTACCTGATACATGCCCACTCACACCCTGTTTGGATTTAGCAACTAACTGGGTAGAGAGCTTGCAAGCCTCCTCCTGGGAACCAGAGCTTGCTACATGCGGCTCTCCGCCTGCAAGCAATAAAACAAAACATAAACAATGTTTTATTGTTTAGTTACCATGTCAATTCGAGATTGTTCCAGCCACACATATATAGACAACGTTTTATTGTATAGAGTAAGTAAACAAACCTTTGCAAAACCAGCTGTACCTTCAACGTGTCTTGAAAAATACTCACCCAGTAGACTCATGCGATTTGTGAGGTCCCCACAAGAAGAGCTGTAGCGCATCATCGTTATCAAACCCTTGTATCA